TATTGTTGGTCAGAAATTTCCATTTTAGCTATAGATTTAAGATTATTAAACTTTTTGTGGGATAGGATGGGGAGGGGGGGGAGGGTGCACTTAGATTTAGCCAAGGTCCCACCCATGGACATGTCCATAAACCTACCTTTCAAGCAAGTTTTATACTTAGTCCAGCCCTAGCTAAAGGAATACTTTAAGCGATGGTTTAAGCTCTAGTCATAGACTAAGCCGTAGATCTATCCCTATCCCTAGCTCTATCTCTAGTCATACCTTTAGCCTTAGCCCAGCCTTAGCCCAGCCTTACCCTTAGCCTTAGCCGTAGCTTTAGCCTTAGTTTTAGCCTTAGTCTTAGCCTTAGCCGTAGCCTTAGCTTTGGCCTTAGTCTTAGCCTTAGCCTTAGCCTTTGCCTTAGCTTTGGCTTTAGCCTTAGTCTTAACCTGTGCGTTGCCTTGGCCTTAGCCTTAGCTTGTGCATTGCCTTAGCCTCAGCTCAGTTTATTCCAATTTAGCCCATCCTAACTCAATGTTAGACTTAGCCCTAACCCTAGCAATAACAGTAACTTTAAGCCAAGTTCTAACTTTCCTCCCCCCCCTTAAATTTTTCTTTTAAAAAAAATTTAATGTCAAATTCCATCTATTGTCCCCCTCCCCCAAATTTTCCGTTCCAAAGAGATAACGAAGACCACTGAAGCAGTCAAGTTTACACGTGCTTTCTCCTTCTCAAATTAACTTTAATCTCCTCGGCCTTATTCTCCGTTAGTTCGAACTAAAAAATGCAAGAAACTTTTTCCGTTTTTGTCCTTTTCTTTCCGAAAATGGCTAAACTTGGCTATAGTTTTGACCAAATGGGGTTATTTTTGACTTTTGATATAAGTTTTTTACTTACTATATGGCCGAGTAGGGATGAGAAAGACAACTAGGGTAGGGTTGGTATTAGGGTAGGACAGGATAAGGTAAGATAGGGTAGGGCAAGGTAATTTAAGGTAGGGTAGACATTTTGTAGAGTTTTTTATGATTTGTTGTCCAAAGTCGACCGATAGCAAAATATTTTTTTTTCTAAAAAGTCAGCTTGGCCCTCCCTGTGGGTTATTACCTAAATTTTCAAAGAAAATTTTTTACTATTTTTAAAATTTTATTAACTTAAGTGATACAGTATGTTATGAAGATTGGGTTTTTAAATTTTTATTTTTTGTAATCGACCGGTAGATTTTTTATGACAAAAAACATTTTTTTTTCTTCAAAAAAATCAGCTTGGTCCCCCCTGTGGATTATTTTTCGCAAAATTTTATGAGACATTTTTATCAGTTTATAAACAATGTCTTTAACGATCTTTTCCAGAAAACACAATAGAGGTACTGTCTGATCTTTGGCAAAAGTTGTTTCATCCAAATTCCGTTTTCTTTTCGAAAAATTGGGGAAAAACACAAACTTTATGTCCGTATAAAAACACATAAAAAGGCCACGATTCCGAGGCCTTATAATCCAATTGCGAATTAACACGCCTCGTTTTTCCCCCACCAGCAGACAATAGGAAATGTCACATGGGTCCATCTCACCGGCCGAAACACAAAAAAATTTCCGTCTTTTCTCCCCCTTAAATAATATAAATCTTTGTCTTTGGGAGAAGAAAAAAGCGACGGAAAAAGTAAAAAAAGATGGAAAATTGTTTAAAGAACCTAACAGCCTTCTCCAAAATGCCTAAAAACACTCGTTCTATTACGTTTTTTCGCGTTTTGCGAAGATTATCAATATTTTTCGAGATTATTTCTCAGATTTTCAACCGTTTTTTGTTTGCGGTCGGCATGATTGTGGGCCGGAATGGGGGTTTGAAGCTAAAATTTTAGCTGAAAATTGGGGTTTTGGGCAAAAAGGTTATCATAAGATGAATGAGAAGCTAAGATGTTAGGAAAAAATGTAGGTTTTCAGCTTAATTTTAGGTAATAAGTTCCACTTCTCGGATTTTCAACCGTTTTTTGATTGCGGTTGGCGTGATTTTGGGCCGGAATGGGGGTTTGGAGCTAAAATTTTAGACTAAAACGTAAGTTTTCAGTGAACTTTTAGGTGTTAACTTGAGTTGAAAGGCTAAGATTTTTGGTTAAAACTTGCGTTTTGAGCAAAAACTTGATTACAAGATGACTGAGAAGTTAAGATTTTAGGTTAAAATGTGGGTATTAAGCAAAAAAGTTATCTTAAGATAGACGAGAAGCTAAGATTTTAAGCTAAAATGTAGGTATTGGGCAAAAACGTTATCATAAGATAGATGAGAAACTAGTATTTTAAGTTAAAATGTGAGTTATAGGCTAAGTTTCAGGTAATAAGTTCGATTGAAAGCTATGGTTCGATTATAAAAAGTAGGGCTTGGGCAAAAGGCTTAAAAAGCTAAAATTTTTAGCAAAATAGTAGAGTTTTAGCTTAATTTTAGGTAGTAAGTCAGTTAGAAAACAAAGATTTCAGGCTAAAATGTAGGTTTTTGGACAAAAACGTGATCATAAGATGGATAAAAAGCTTAGAATTTAGACTAAAATGTGGGTTTTAGGCTAGGTATGGTCAGAAAGATAATATTTTAGCTAGAATTTAGGCTTTGGGCAATTAAACGTTATCATAAGATCGATGGGAAGCTAAGATTTTAGGCTAAAATGTACTTTTTGGGCAAACTTTAGGTAATAAGTTGGACTTAAAACCAATATTTTATGTCAAAAGGTAATTTTATAAAGGTATTTTAGCCATAGCCTTGACCTTCGCCTCAGCCCTAGCTTTAGCTTCAGTCTCAGCGTCAGTCTTAACCACAGCCCTATCCCAGAACCCTAGTCTTAGCCCTTTCCTCAGACCTAGCCTCAGTCCTAACCACAGCCTTATCCCAGAGCCCTAGCCTCAGCCCTAGCCTCAGGCATAGCCTTAGCCATGACCTCAGGCCTAGCCTTGGCCCTAGCTCTAGCCCTTGTTTTTGTTCTAAATAGTCATAACTCTAATCCTTTCCTCTATTTTTGCCCTAACCATAGCTTGCATTTTCAACTTTTACTGCCATTATTTATAGTATACATACCTTAATTTTAGTAATCCGAATTAAATTTGGTTCCAAATCCTTTCGAATAATAAATTTTTTTGTTAAATCCATTCACGTGCCTTATCTGAGTTTTATTTGGCGGTTCAAAGATCGTTTGGTGGATGTTAAAGCCAGCTGCCACTTTGGATTGCAGAGACTTTTTTTCATGAAAAAAGGCTTATTTTACACGGGATTGGACTTGGAAACCAATTATTGATGACTATATTATTGTAGCGTTCGTATGGCTTAGAAAAGGTAGAGGGTAATTATTACATAACCAGTTAGAGTATTATAAACGTAGGGGCGGTAAAATTTAAGTGGGGTATGATAAGGGTAGGTTATGACTTGAGTAGGGTATGGCAAGAATAAACCATGGAAAGGGTAAGGTACGGACAGGGTAGGGCGTGGGAAAGAGAAAGAGTGATAAAAAAACAGATGATAAGGGTGGAGGTAGTAGAAAATAAGCAAGGCATGGGAAAAGAAGGACATGATAAGGGTAGCGCTTAATAAAGGTAAGGCATGGTAAGAGTAGGGCATGTTAAAGGTAAGGCGTGGTCAAGGTAGGGTATGGCATGGTTGGAGAATGGTATGATAGAGTAGAGTATTTTAGGGTTGGGATGGGTAGGGTAGGGTAGGGTAGGGTAGGGTAGGGTAGGGTAGGGTAGAGTAGGGTAGGGTAGGGTAGGGTAGGGTAGGGTAGGGTAGGGTAGGGTAGGGTAGGGTAGAGTAGGGTAGGGTAGGGTAGGGTAGGGTAGGGTAGGGTAGGGTAGGGTAGGGTAGGGTAGGGTAGGGTAGGGTAGGGTAGGGTAGGGTAGGGTAGGGTAGGGTAGGGTAGGTAGGGTAGTATAGGGTAGGGTAGAGCATAAATAACGTTTATTTCTGTCTTATGACAGAATTATGACATTGTCCTCTGTAACTGCTTGTTAATAATTAATTATGCGTGACCGAGTGCTATGTGACATGCTATAATTAATACATTTCATAACATAATTCATGTATACTTAACGTTTCAAAAGGCTTTTCAGCTGTTTTTCAATAATTTGTTTTTACTTTTTATGCTTTACTGCTTTAAAAAATAAAAAAAACTACTTTATCACCCCCTCTTCAAAAATAAATTTACCCCGCTTTAAAATTTTTTTTGAAAAAAGCATTTATTTCGTATACCAGTCGAAAAAAAGACTAAAAATATGTCTCCCCACCCCTATCTCCGCTCCCCCCCCCTTCTAATACTATAACAGGTCACATGTATTATAGTAGAGACCTTATGATTTGAGCTCATAGTTTCTCAATTTTTATCCGCTTTTAAACATTTTAAACCGATAAGACCTTGAATTTACAACTCGTTTGTACGTTTTCTGCTAAATCTGTATCGTAACCATTTTTCGGGCTTCATAAGCTCTTCGTAATGTATTGTACGTAATCATTTTGAACGCGTTGATACTGCTACTGTAATGGACTTTTAAAGCACGTTCATATACTTTATGAGGTAGGGCAGAGTATGAGGATTTATATAATAATATAGGTACGTTTTAGTGAAAAAAAAAATATTGGGCGGGGTAAATTTTTATGAGGGGCAAAGGGTGGATCAAAAAATTTCTTTTACATTTTCATCAGGGTACAATGCTCAACTTATTTCTTAAAAAATTAAATTTTTAACTCATCCCCCCACCCTACTTTTTAAAAAAAAGTCTTGTCGTTTTTTAACCTTACAATACACATAATTTGACGACATGACTTTTTTGGCTTTATAAAGTTATGAAAACCGTAGGGTAGGGTAGGTTAGGGTAGGGTACATTAGGGTGAAGTAGGAAAGAATAGGGTAAAATAGGTTCTCATTACAATCGCGTTTCTTATCCATAACAATTGTCATCAAAATACCATATTATAATACTATGCTTTCAGCTCCATATGCTCTCATCAGAGACTTCCCGAAGTTTTTGTTGAAAGAACTCAAAATTCCCTTCAAAATGAGCTCCGATCGTCCGCCGCCCGCGCCGAATGAGACGTCAGATTCAACTCAACGGCTGTTAGACGACGCGGCTCCAATTGGACTGGAACGACGTCGTTCCTCATCGATTGGAGGTCCCTTCTCGACTCCGTCTACTTCAACATCATCGGCTGGAGTTACTCCAGTTAGTCCTGTACCTACTGAACAGCCTTTTGTAAGTTTTTTTGAGAGTCCATTGGTTTTTAGGTGCTTGTGATAAGGTAATTGATAGTAAGATTATAGGTAGGAGTAGAAGTAGGGCAAGAGCTAAGTCTAGGGCCAAGGCTTTATGCTAGGGCTTAGGCTAAAGCTTAGGCTAGGGCTTAGGCTAGGGCTTAAGCTAGAGCTTAGGCTAGGGCTTAGGCTAGGGCTTAGGCCAGGGCTTAGGCGGCTTAGGCTAGCGTTTAGGCTAGGGCTTAAGCTAGGGCTTAGGCTAGGGCCTAAGTTAGGGTTGAGGGCTAGATGTTAGTAGGGCAGTGGTTTTTAAGCTTATATTAATGACTTAATACCTACATTTCACTTTCCAGACCAGTAACTTCGCCTCATCCGGAATAATCAACAACTCCAAGCCAGTATCTACCATGCCCGGCATTACAGAGCCGATCAGTCAAGTCTCCCTCAACGAATTCGTGGTTGTAAATGGAGGTCCAGCAGCCAATAATATCTTCCCAGCGACTGCAATATCGACCGAAAGTGTGAATACCACGAATGGTGAATATGTACATCCACCTCCTGTCTATGTTCAAAGTGAGGTTGATTTGAGATCGACACAGATTTCACTTGGAATTGGCCAGAACTATGTTCAATCTGATCCTCAACTCACTGAACCTATATTGTTCTTTGATGGACCTCAAGCGCCAACGGATTCGCAACAGACAGTACAGGAGGAGAAGATTCAGGATCCGAAAGCGAGGTAAGATACAAAACTCTACTCGACCCTACACTGAAATGTCCTGACCTGCCATGCCTTGTTCTGCTATACACTACAATATCCTGCCTTGCGTTGCCTTGCCTTACTTTGCCCTGCCTTTTGCCTTGCTTTGCCTTGTCTTGCCCTGACCTGTCTTACCTTATCTTGTCTTGCTTTGCTTTTACAGTACTTACTCTACCCTATTCTACTCTGTCTCGCCTTGTCATGCCCTTGCCTTGCAGTACGAGCTCTACCCTACTCTCTTCTAGCCTTCCTTGTCCTGCTTTTCCTTGTCATGCCCTACCCTGTCATGCCTTACCCCGCACAATAAACTCCTCATTTTCAGCCGAGTCCGCAATCAAAGTGAGCTCGAAATCAACGCCCAACACTACCGTATGCAGAAGCAATACAAAACCAAACGGAGTCGAAATCTCACGGATATTGACTTCGAAGGTATCCTCAAAATCATCGGCGGTTGTAACATGTGGCAGATCATCATCTACATCATGATCTCAGCCCACCAAGTGCCCCACGCTATGTTTAACTTGTCGGTCGTTTACTTGACTTATCAACCGGATCATTGGTGTAAAATCCCGTCCTTTTCCAAGGCCTACATTGATGCGCATCAAAACGAAATTGGGCCCGGCTGGACGTGGGAGAAGGCGCTTGATAGTGGGATTGCGTTCCCAAGAGTCAGCAATCGACAGAGGAGGGGGAAGATCTGGCATGATCAATGTAATTACTATAGACTACCACCTTCAGAGTACCGAAAGTACTTGAGAATGGACTTTGAATCGGCTAGAAAGCTGGCAGCCAGTCGGAACCGGACTTTGAAGATAGATAGGTGTAAAGTAAGTTATTTGATACTTACTAATGTACCCCTACCGTACCATACCCTACCCTAATATGTATTATACACCTTCAAATCTTTCAGAATTGGGACTACGATAAGTCAGTAATGAAGGATACGGTGGTAATGCAATGGGATCGTGTTTGTGACGATAACTGGAGTCGTGCTCACGTTCATCTCTCCTATTCGTTAGGATACCTTGTTGGTTGTATTGCTGGAGGCTTCGTATCGGATAGATACGGAAGGAAGAGTGCCATCTATGGGTTCAGCGTCCTATCCACAATATTTGGCTTCTTGTTGCCGTTCAGTCGAGAATTCGAAGTGTTTTTGGTTGTTCGTTTTCTACTGGCTGTTTGGTGAGTTTTTGGAGAGTTGTAATGATGTAGAGCACCTTAGATAGATAAATATCATTCATAAAGGACTTAGCTACAACAATATCACAAAAAGTATTGTTAGATTGTTGTAGCTTGGCTTATATGACCATAAAAAAGTCCACAATGTCATTTTTAAGGGGTTTGTCATCATTTTTTTGAACTTTGTCATCGTCTTCTATTCCAATTTCATTCCAGTAAAGAAGCCGCCGATCTTGCCGCCTACGTTATGTGTATGGAGATCACGGGTGTCAAGTACAGATCGATCGTCGGGTCTTTACTTCAAGCTCCATGGGCCTGTGGTTACGCATTCTTGGCTCTAGTAGCATATATTTGCAAATCGTGGAGCGGAATACAGGTAAAAGATTAGTTTTTTCAGCATTTTAGGCTTGAAAGGATGATTCTTTTTTAATTTTGGGCTTTCTGGGTCTTGTAATTGACTGTTTTGTAACATAACATGTGATCAAAGTAGACTCTGATTATGTAAACGTCGTCAAAAAACATATTAGGTTGTTCACAAAAATATGAGCCCTCTATTCTCCAAAATTTGCTTTGAGATAGGGCACATAATTATTTGAACAACCTCATAGTTTTTGTGTCAACCACAGCCAAATCCACCTACAACAATATAACCCAAATTGCTTTCAGATGGTAACCACAGTCCTCCACTTCCTAGCTCTCTTTCTCATCCATCACTTGCCAGAAAGTCCACGATGGTTAATTGTCATGAATCGTGTGGATGAAGCCGAGAAAATCATTCGAAAAGCATGTCATTTGAATAACAGTAGCCTCCCATCTGATCTAGAGCTGGTTCGTCATGCCGAAATGAGAAAGTGGACCAAAACCATGCAAAGACCGCATTTTTGGCACACCTTCAAATCGCAAGCGATGACGTTCCGTAACCTTATCATCTTCATCGTATGGATCGCTACGGCCCTCGTGTATTATGGTATTGTCATCGCTTTATCTGATCAGGTAGGTTGACATTTTTTGATAATAACCATGATTAGTGCCATTTAAGACCATTGCTTAATATCGAAAATCATTCTTGGTGTCCTTAACACCATCGTTATCATCTTAAAACGCTTGTTTCATCACCAAAACCTTGCAAGTCCCAATATTCTCCATCAAAATTATATTACACTAGCCGTTTTTCAGAGTTCTCCGGGTAGATCAATGTTTGTTGGTAATTTCTTCCTCAACAACGCAATTGCTGGTGCTATTGAACTGCCAACCTTGTTAGCATGTGTATATCTCTTGCAATTTGGACGAAAACGGTCACAAGTTATCACATTAATCAGTGCGGGTACTCTCATTTTCATCGCCATGTGTGCCAGTTTAAAAGAGGAAATGACTGTAAGTTTGCTTCTTCTTGATTCTTTAGTGTTTTAGGTATTATTTTAAGCTCATATTTAGTCAGGAACTTTATTTTCATGGGTAGACATTTAGTTTTAGAAAAATATTGTACATGATCGGTTGAGGTTGTTCATAAAATGAAGCTTTTTCTATAATATTTGGCACCCAAATTTGGCCGAACTGTTTCATAATCTTCAAAAGTCCATATTCCAACTTTGAAATGTCATATCAAACCTAAAATCAGCAAATAAAACCACTCACAACCTCATTTTAGTTCTCCTTAATCTTCATGTTGGCTGGCAAAGCCTGCATTCAAGGTGCCTTCAATATTCTCTACATTTTCACCTCCGAGCTATATCCCACAGTAATTCGAAACAGCGCTGTTGGTATGTGCTCGATGGTGGCGCGTATCGGTGCTGGAGCTTCGGGTTACATTGCCATTTTGTCGGATGTTACACTGCCGGTGGTGCCGATGGGTATTTTCTGTATTTTCTCACTGTTTGCTGGTGTTTTGATCTACTTTTTGCCAGAAACTAGAGATCTACCTCTTCCCGACACCATGTGGGTAAGTATTTGTCCAGATTTGATGAGATTTTAGGGAGATACAGCAAATTTTGTGAAGTTAACGTTAGGGTCGAATGGATAATATCGTTTTGATCGAAATGCTTGAAATATTGACAAAACTTTGATTGCAGAAGACTTAATGGTTCATGATCCATCTAATAATATAATTCCGTATTTTACCTGAATTTCCAAACAAAAATTAGAAAAACTAAATTTATATTATTCATGACCATTTGAACCCGCGTGTCACTTTCACCGCAAAGATCTTTCAAAACCCGAAAAATTTTGTTAACAAAATCTTTATCAGTTCATAAAGCATGCATTCATTGACCTTTAACCTAAATTTTAAACCAAAATTCAGAAAAGTTGACTAATTTTATATTATACATGACGCGTCGATCCATGTGCCATTTTACCTGCAGAACTTGATAAATTGGCATGCCTTGCCTCACAAAAGTTCTAGCAGGTGACCAAGCATCTATTCATTAACCTTTTACCTAAATTTTCAAACAAAATTTAAAAAAACCCACCAATTTTATATTATCCGTGACCAAAACCAATTATACTGCTTTCAGGATGCCGTTACGATGCTAAAGAACAATAATTCATACAAATGTACGGGTGGAATCCGTCGGGCGTCGGTAATTGAGGAGGAAGACGAAGGTGATGACGAGTATAAACAATCGCCGACTTCCAAGGAAGCTCCTGCCAATGATATTATCCAGCCTGAAAAAGGGAAATAACAAAACCCCAATGCCTCCGGGCCTTGGAAATACGTGTAGAATTATATTTTACCATTTTAATAACAGTTTAAACAACTTTTAAAGCTAGAATGCTTTTTGTAACAGCTTTTATATTGTTTTACCTTCAATTTCCTTCATAATTTTACAAATTCTTGTTTTGGGTCAAGTTTTGCTCTTCTGGTAGTCAAGTGTTCCTATTGACGGTATTTTGATTGTAAATCACTGGAAATTGAAGTTTTTAAAGAAAATATGTTAAGATAAGTTAGAAAAACCAATAAAATTTCTTATTTTTGTCATTTTCAACGAAATAACATCAAAGTAACCGTCCGAGAGCAAGACTTGACTCCAACCGCCATTTTACAAGTATATCAACCATACAAATCCATATATCGGTCTAATTTTCAAGAATAATTATCCCTAAGGCATTCGCGAATTTACCATGACATTGTTATTGCGCCATAGACATCTTTAGTTGAACAAACGTTTGTTTTCGATATTAATGTAGTTGTTGATTCTCTTAACGGGTGCTCCATCTAAGTTCCGCCATTTTTCTTCGTCGTCACAATTGTACAAGGTTATTTTTTCAGATATTTAGTAGTTTTTCCTTATTTTTTAAAGATTTTTTCTTGGTTTTTGTAAAGAAATTTTTTTCATATTGCCGGGTTTTGAAGGAAGTTGAGATGAGTTTAGGTGAGAACCTTTAAAACGAATATGCGAAGAAACTTTCTTTACAAAAAAGCCTTTATTTTCCGTTTCAATTGCCTTTTAATAAGTAATAACATAACTGTAAATAAAAATTTCAAAATTTTTTGACAGTACACTTGATATTACATGCCTCTGTTGGGGATTTTGTCCAATAAGTGAACAATAAAGTGAATGCAATGGTGATGAAAAGAGATATACGGAACTGGTGCTTTGCCTATAAATCAAATTCTATCAAAACATTTTCAGAAGTTATACAGTCAACTATAATATAAACCTTGATGTATATTCTTTCCATTCGTGGATATCCCCCTCCCCCCCTCCCTACTGCCTTCCGAAGGTGTCCTGAAAGCCCACATAATCAAAAAAAAAGACTTACTCGGACCTGAATAAGACGTATCAACTCATTCAGATACCTTTGGATTGACTCTAAGCGCTGTTGAAAGCACTGTAACGTTTGCTCAATGTTGTCCTGTCTATTTGCAATCGCGGACAGTCTACGCTTAATGGCGATAAATTGCCTCCTGATAGAATTCTTAATGATATGTTGCCTCCTGATAGAAATCACTTTGCGCCGACGTCGTTTGATCATCTAAACCAAAAGTTACCATGTAATATATATACTAACACCAGGGGCGTCCAGCCCCACAGCCGATCCGAAAAAATCCACAAATGCGCAAAAAATAAAAAAAAAGTTTTTAATTCGTCCACAGGTAGACCTGTGAACCAAATAAAATTTTTTCGACCCCCTCCTCCAGAGAAAATCCGTAGCGACGAAAATCCGAACCGCCTATAACTCAATATTTTTTTCTTCAAATTTTAGCCTTTAGATATTGTGTTTGATGACACTTTCAGTTTCTAAACATCACTTCCCATCTATAAAAACAAAAAATTTATTAAAAAACAAAAGAAAACAATAAAAAATTAACAAAAGATGAAAGGAAGAGCATAAAAGTTAGTATAACAATAACAAAAAAATAGAAAAATGACAGAATATTAACTAGAGAAAGTGAAATATTGACCCAAAAAGTACAATATTAACCAAAGAAAATAAAATATTAACCAAAGAAAGTAGACTATTAAGGAAAAAAAACTAGAATACTAACCAAAAATGAAGAATATTAACCAAAAAAAAACAAAAAAGCCCATTTAAAGCCATAAAAATGAAGAAAAAAGTAACAAAAAAACAAAAAATAATGAAAAAAATCAAAAAATAATGAAAAAACATCAAAAAATAATGGAAAAAATCAGAAAAAAATAGAAAAAAATGAGGTTATATTACTGTATGATGAGATATTACGGACTATGAGAAGTATATGATTAGTTTGTAAAAGAAAAAAGGATGGTACTAAAATGATTTTTGCGGGTTATCAAGGTTAATATAGGGAGAGTATCAACATAAAACAAATACCGTACTTACGAAACAATAGAGGCCTACCGTACTTGAAAAAAAATATAGATATACCGTACTTGAAGCCTTTTGGATACTGTAACTTCATTTTTCATGCTTAGCTTCAAAACTTCAAAAAAAATTTTGTTGACCAAAAAAGCTGTACCTAAAACAATATTTTTAAAATAAATCGGGCCGGGCCGGCCTTGAGCAAAATTTCGATTGAGCTGGCTTGAAAAATGAGCAGGGCCCGGCCCGTTTCCACGTAAAAATAATTTAGGCCCGGGCCTACCATCGGGCCGGGCCGGCCCTGAGCAAAATTTCGATCGGGCCGGGCCTGAAAATTGGGCCCGGCCCGTTTCTCATGTCTAATTTCTAGCCATTTTAAGCCTAAAAAAGTTCAAAAGCCTAAAAAATATCTTTTTGTTACCTAAAAATCATCTTTTTGCAACCCAAAATTGAGCAACAGTATCCTCGACCCCCTCTCGACTACAATATTGAATAACAGTACTTTTCGCTATGAAAAAGACCATTACATACAACCCACATCCGGTCATGGTGAATATAAAATTGACTATAACTCCCTACAAAATATCAATAATACCGACGATACAGTATACAAAATACGGTAAGCTTGGATATAAGTTAGGTGATAGATATCAAGAATAAGTTATCATGAGATCAACTATAAAACATAAGAAAAAGGTTAGTAAATTTCGAAAAAAGTTGAAAAATATAAAATATCATGGATAATATCCGGCCTACTCCTTGAAATACTTTCTCTCGTACACCTTTGACAATATGTCTGGAGTTGGTGGAGCGTTGAAGATGTCACTCACGCTGTCCGACGGCGTGTCGAACAAGTACAGTGGCGGTGGACGACGAAGCACAATGGGCATGTTTGGAGGAGTACCAATCGGTGGGAATACTAGAGCCGGTACGTTCCGGTTTCTCACTGCCGACATACGAAGAGCTGCTGAAAAACATCAAAATTAAATATATTGTTTATTTATAGCTGTTCGTATTACCGTAGTTACAAAAATCGCCAATTTTTTCAAAAATTTTCCCCAAAATTGTGGTATGATGGTCATGAATAATATAAATTTTGATGTATCCCAAAAATGCCTTGCTTAATCAAAAATAAATTTCACAGAGTACTGTAACATGCTGTAGGCAAGCTTGATATCATGTTTTAGCTATATGTGCAAGCTCCATCTAAAGTTACAACAAAAAGTTTAGTCTTGACCTTGATATTGACATAGTGTACTTCAAACACCCATATGTCCAAAAGTAATTAGTCAAAATAAAAACCACCTTATGGTAGGATTTTTAATATACAGTAACTACAAATACAAAAAAAATCATATCAGTCAAAGAAGTTATGGCATCTTAAAAAATAATATTACCCATGATCCCCAACATATTTTTATCTCTGTTCAGCCAAAATCAACTCGCATACCTACAAAATAATAGTAGTTTCAGCTCTTCATTTTAGCCTAAAATCAAAAAAATAATCAAATTCCTTACCAACAGCCTCTTGATAAGTTAAATTGGTTTCGTTGATAACATCACAGAGGGCTTTCAGGTTGGTTGGTGAAGTATCCTCCTTTCTCTTGGCCTTTTTGCATTCACAACGCTTGCCTCCAATTGCGTGGAACCGCATCTCGCATACGTTATCAGCGTCCTGTTCGTTAACAAAGGTGACAAAGCCAAATCCTGAAAAAGAAAACTCATATGAAGAACTCTTATCTTCATCAAGAACCCTTCATTTTTTGCCAAACCCCCTTTTAATCTCCCTTTTTTGGCTAAAAATCCACCCATGCCCAAATTGTTACCCTGCCATATAAAAACCAAGCCATTTTTAACTTTTTTTCATAAAAATAAACCCACCACGATGTCTTTCCTTCATATGATCGTACTTGATAACAGCATCATCGACGGGGCCGAACTTCCGAAAATAGGACTTGAGATCGTCGATTGTGACATATTGAGAAATCCCACCAATGAACACCTTCTTGTTGATGTTTTTTGCCGAGCGTGCTGGAGAGATCTCTTGCAACGCTGGTTGTGGCTCCACCTCCTTGCCGTCGATGAAATGTCTGGGAATCTTGAAGACTTCCTTGACTTGCTCTGGAGTTTGGAAGGTTACAAAGCCGAATCCACTGAAAAGTAAGACAAAATATTACTCATTAGCTTCTTCATTAACTACTGCTACTTTATAAACTATAACCAAGGTATAGTAGTCAAAAATGAACAGACAGCAACGCAAAATCCATGATATACTAACCGTCAAGAAAATGACTTCAAAAATCTTGATATTCTTCCTCGATTTTAAAATTTCAAAACTGCAAAATGTGTTTTAAACCTCGAAAAATACATATTCTTTCATTTAAAACCAAAAACAGTTTAGATTTTAACAAAGCCTCCAAGCAACAGCAAAAAACGTATATTACACTTGATGCCTCAATGTGTCGCCCTAATAAACAGATTTTCTCCACATTTAACAATCTTAAAACCATAAAATCTTCCAGCAAAACTCTCTTCATAATATTTCCCACATTTCGATTAATTTTTACCTAAAAACAAACAAAAATCCAAAGACTTACCGTGAAGAATTGGTAACACGATCTCTCAATACTTGAGCCTGAAGAACTCGTCCAAATCTGTTGAAATAACACCGGAGACCGTCCTCATCCGTGTGCCAACTCAATCCACCAACAAAGATCTTGCTGAAAACAAAATCATTACTTTTTATATTAGTTTAAATTTGTCAGTATTGAAAGAACTAGTTTGAAGTATAAATTTTCAAGAAATTAATTTGGAAACTAAAATACTAAACAAATTAGTTAAATCATACAAATAAAATGTCGAAATTAACTCACCAAGCATCGATATCACAGTCCGTCGTCATCATTATCACCTGAAATTGAAAATATTGTCTATAACGATATAATAACTCGTTAGAAGCGGCAAACACGTAGGAATTTACCTTTTTATATTAAAAAAAATTAAACACACTTTATTTTCTCTTATTAGGCTTGAATTCCATTTTAAATAGTTAAAAAACCAATTATAAAATCATTTACCAGCTATGATACACTAGAAAAATAGCCCCAAAAAACCTTCAAAATAGACCTAAAATCAAACTCATTAATACAGGTTATTACTACCATTAGTTAGATATATCTTTCTGCTTTCTAACAACCAAAAATCTTTCAAATACATAAAGTACCAACCAAGATACATTAATTTTCCGGAGTGACATCAACTCCAACATACCATAATATCGTAAATTGCGCCAACTTTCATAAATAAACATGACTTAAATTAGTCGACAGACACAATATAAATTAAGTAACCTTGTAAAATCATTATTGACATAAAGAGCTATAGTAACTTTAAAAAACGACAAAGTAATATCGATGTTATTCTTGAAATTTAAACATAAAAATTGAAAATAAGAAAATGCCGGTAAATTAACATTAATTAAGCTTTAATCTTGAACAGCACAAGGCCTAGAATACTAATCGATAAAGCTGTCTGACAAAATTTCGTAAAAAACGAAAAAAACCGTTCAAAAAATCTGTCATCTTTGATGAAATGTCCAGAAAATGTGTCAAAACTTCAAAATTTCTCTTCTTTCTAATGTAAACTTGTCGAAAGTAGTTAAAAAATAGTCTTAAAAACATTTTTAGTTGTTTTTTGATTAAATAAACAATATTTTATACCGACAAAAGGCAAAAACATCAAGTTTGATTCAAATTTTGTTGCTGGCGTCTTGCGTATAACTTGCCTCTTTTTCTTCGTTGTGGGCTCGGCCGCAGATGAATGATTATGAAAAGGGGATTTTGAGTTGCTGACAAATGGATATAACCCCTATACTTACTGTTATATTTACCCTAATAGTATATTTTTTATTTTAAATTTAAAATTTTTAAAAAAAATTGTGTGAAAAATTTTGCTTCGGGCTAAAAATTTGATTTTTTGCTTAAAAAATCATTTTTAACTTCAAAACGTGACTTGATCTGTCATAGTAATGCTTTTTAAAATGCTTATGTTTAACTTACAAATGTGAGTTCAATGATCTTTTCAAGAAGACTTAATCCTCAACGTTTAACGAAGTATTTAAGGTTGATAAGATATTTTTTCTTTTGGACGTTTGGTCGTCTCCGCTTATATTATTATAGAAATAGCTTATATAAATATTTTTATATTGAAGTTTTTGTATTAAAAATTGTTTCTTAAAAAGGTTTCTAAACTTTTAAAATTTTAAACCTTGAGGATGGCGGATGAGTTAGTAAAAACAACTTCTGAAGCGACATCGCCGCCATATTATAATTGTGAAGTCTGTTCGGCGCCTTCGAAATGTCGACATCTCGGAGGCAGGGTAAGTCATTTTATCCAGTTAGACTTAGCTAGGCTAAAGTATGTGTTAGCTAAGCTAGCTAGGCTAAATTATACGTTATCTGCCTAGGTTCAGCTAGGCTAAGTTATTCGATAACTAGCTAGGTTTATCTATGCTAGCTAGATCAAATTATGCATTATCTAGCTAAGCTTAATTCATTTTCATTGTCTGACTCTATGTTTTATAACCTTCTTTCAGATTTGCAAAAGCTGTGCCATCTTTTTTCAACGTTATTTGGCCAAAAAACAAACATATTATTGTAGAGCTGGCGACAACAATTGCAAAGTTTATTTCAGTAAGATTTTTTGTTATTACGTATGCCTAGCCCAGGGCCCTAGGTCAGAACTCTAGCTTAGTGCCCTGCCCAGAACTCTAGACCAGAGTCCTAGCCCAGAGCCCTAGCCCAGAGCCCTAGTCCAGAGCCCTAGGTCAGAACTCTAGCTTAGTGCCTTGCCCAGAACTCTAGACCAGAGTCCTAGCCCAGAGCCCTAGCCCAGAGCCCTAGTCCAGAGCCCTAGCCCAGAGCCCTAGCCCAGAACCCTAGCCCAAAGCCTTAGCCCAGAGCCCCATACCAGATCCCTAGCTCTAGCCTACAACCCTAGACCAGAGAACCAGAGCAGATCTTGCTAGCTTTGACCCTTAGCCCGAGCATAGCCCTAACCCTACAACTTAACCTCGGTCGTAAGCTTGACTCTCCCGCTCACCTTCCGCTAAACTCCTATACTCACCCTTCCCCCCCCTTTCCTTGTATTTAAAATAGATTGTCTGTCTGGCAATAGATCACCTTATTTCCTATTTTCAGAGGATAAGTTAAAGTGCAAAGCATGTAGATTTACCAAATGTCAAGAACAGCTAAATAAAATCGTGGAGAAATCAAAGAACTTGCAAACCGACCAATTCTTAAATGCCTTTAAAAGTGGCATTACCTCACTGAGTCATCAATTGGTCAAGGCTCTCAACAATGTGTACGAGTTCGAGTGTGTTGTGAAAAGTCCGGATTCTTCGTTAAATCAGGTGATACAGTATACTATACAATAGTGCGGGTAAGGGTAAGAGTAGGGCTAGAGCTATAAGTTGGGACTTTAGGCTAAGGCTAGGGCTCTGGGCGAGGGCTCTGGGCTAGAACTCTGGGCAAGGGTTGTGGGCTAGGGCGCTGGGCTAGGGCTCTTGGCTAGAACTTTGGGCTAGGGTTCTGGTCTTGTGCTGTGGGCAAGGACTCTGGGCTAGAATTCTGGGCTAGGGCTCTGGGCTAAGGCTCTGGGCTAGGGCTCTGGGCTAGGGCTCTGGGCTAGAACTGTGGGCTAGAACTGTAGGCTAGGACTTTGGGCTAGGGCTGTGGACTAGGTGGACATGAAGAGCGAGCCGGGCCTATTTTTCATGCTCGGCTCGACACAAACTCTTTTCCCGTGCCAACGCACCGGACTTTTCGAGCCGGGCCTTGATTTTGAGGCCTGGCCCAACCTAAATTTGGGTCAGGGCCGGCCCGGTCTAAGGGTAAGTCCCGGACAGGTTGGCCTGTTCCTCCGTATATAGAGCTAGGGTTCTCGGCTAGGACGGAGGATTGGTTTATAAGCTTAGACCTTTTGGGCTATTTGAGCTAGGACTAAAGCTTTGGGCTAAGGTTTTGCACTAGGGCTCTGGGCTAGGGCTCTGGACTAGGGCACTGGAATAGGGCAGTGGGTTAAGGGTCTGGGACAGGGCTCTGGGTTAGGGTTCTGGCCTAGGCTTCTGGGCTAGGAATATACTTATACATACCTATTTCAGTTAGTTCAAACAACCAAAAAAGATGCCATAGCACAGTTGGAGCTGAGCAAAAACAAATCTTTTGACATTTTTAGAGAATGTATAAGTCAGATGACATTCCAGACTAAAGAGCAGTATGTAGGTAAACTTTTTAAACTTTTTTCTACAATAACATAGCTAAAATACGTAAAATGTAAGCTTTTAGGAACAATTTGTAGCACAGTGCTATTGTGAGCTAACATTGATAAAGGCAGGACATCTGACAATGCAATTTTTCAAAAATGATTTTGATCCTCGCTCAATGTTTTGGCTGGGCTTTTATACAAATTTAATGGAAGACGACTGGTGGATGGATTTGAAACATATTAGTCCAGGCGTGTTGGCTACGATTTAATTTTTTAAAAATTAAAATTAGGGGAATTTTAATACAGGAGAACTTCTGCATAACAAACTTCTTGTAGATTTCAAATTAGTTCTTTATATATGTACTAGTTTGTTACACAGGTGTTCTACTGTATTTACTTTTGAAATTAGTTTTTGAAATGTTAGGTGTAATCGTAGCTAACACCCTTCTTAATGCTCGTTATTATCTTAGAGTAAGTTTGTATTCAAGATAGAGCTAGTTGTTTAGTAATGATAAAGCTAGGGCTTGTGTTAGAGCTAAGACTAAGGCTAGAACTAGGATTAGGGCTCTGGGGTAGGGCTAATACTTAGGTTAGAGCTAACGCTAAGGTTATGATCAGTGTTCCCACGGGCTCCGGAGCCGAAAATTGTCAATTGTAGTGCAAAAGACCCGGCTCCGGAGCTGGAACCGGAGCTGGAAATTTGGGAACTCTGGTTATGATTAAGCCTAAGGTTATGGTTATGACTAAGGCTAGGACTAAGGTTAATTCTAAGACTAAGACTAAGGCTAACGTCAGAGTTATTTAGATTTTAAAGTCTTGAGTTTAGGTTTTACTGTAATAATGATATATTTTGTAGATTACGGTACAAGTTCAACTTTAAATTTGTTGAGTTAGCCCAACACTTTCGGACGGCAAAACCGTCGCTTGAAGAAATTACTATTATTTTACTTATTACTTTTTGTTATCATTGTAAGTTTAATCATTAAACCTACCCTACCCTACCTTACCCTACTGCTATCTCTTTTCTATTCCTATTCTTTGCCTTGGCCTCAGGATTTTAATTTTTTTGATTTTTAAAATTACATTTTTAAAAATGTACAGATGAAGATGTTATTGGAATATGTCCAGAGCTTGACAAGTACAAAGACCGAGTGTTGAGAGAATGGTCAGAAGATTTAAGGGCACGTTACAAGGAAGATTCCTACTCGAAGATGATCGAATTGACTATGTTATCCAAAAAATGTTCTGTAAGGTTTCTTGAGCGATTTGTTATACAGGAGTTAAGACTAGGGCTAAAGCTACGGCTAAGCATAAGGCTGTGACTAGGGTTTGGATAGAGCTAGGGTTAGGGTTAGAAGTAGGGTTTGGGTTGAAGCTAGAGCTAAAGCTAGGGCTAGAGTTAGGGCTAAGGCTAGCTTTAGGGCTAGGGATAAATCTAAGACTCTGGACTACAGCCCTTGAAACTGAAAAAAGTCATGTTTGGCACATTTCAGGACGTAAATAAGTTTTCCACAACCTTTCTTGTTTACATTGACACGATGGCTATGACAACTGATAAGTTGAAATGTAAGTTGTGGGCAATGCTGGGCGGGCGATTTATAGAACATCAGGCTTTTGTAGATGATAATGTTAACATTTTAATGAACTTTAAAAATAAGAACCACTTTTAGTTAACGACGATACAATACAATAACTGTCCTACGTTTTGGATATAACTGACTGGGCAAGTTTTGGTGATCTGTACTAATAACATCTTATCACAGCTTATGAACCATAAAAATGTAACTGTTGGTTTCTACATGATATCTTTGCTGCAAATTTATCTCAGTTTATTACATTTACGCAGTACTTTACTGTACGATAAACGTTATTCCAAAAACATATTAAAAGGTGGATATTGTTGTAGGCTTAAAAGCCTTTATACCGAATATAACCTTGGTCTTAATCTCAACACTATTTCTTTACAAAGCTTTAATTGGCAAGAACTTTCTTAACAAAACATAAAATGGCATGAACTTTCTTTACAAAACAAAAAATAGCAAGAACTTTCTTTACAAAGTTGTAAATGACAAGAACTTTCTTTACAAAACAAAAAAATCACAAGGACTTTCTTTACAAAGCTCCAAATGGCAAGAACTTTCTTTACAAACAAAAAATGCTCAGTTCTTGAAATTACCTTATCATATCACCTAATTCAAAAATAATAAAAATTTATTAACGCGCAATAAACATCTACAATAAATCTACGTTTCGGTTATGAATGACTAGACAAGATTGGTAATTCTCGGAATACTGTAAACACCCATTGATTCATGCGCTGATTTGACCGTTGTTCGATGTTGGATACGGTTGTGAGCCTTTGGTACGCTTCAATTGAACTTTTAGTCGCTTCTGATTGATCTGGAACCCATTCATAGCCGCTATGGCATTTTGGGCCGATACCACATTGTCATAACTTATGAAGCCTAAAAATAGTTATTTTTAGGTAATATAAGGTCTGGCATTTCTATATTTATTAGAATGGTACCCTATCGCACCGTATTTTACAAATTTTTGACCATTTTACATCAAGTTCTTTGAATTTGATGTCTAACAAAACATAAATAGCCTATATCTCCTCAATTTCACAAATCTTTAACAAAATAACACTTACCAAAGCACTTGCTAAGATTCGTCTGCTTATCAATAAAAACCTTTGACGAAATGATCGTGCCAAAGTGATGAAACAGCTGATACAAATCAGAATCCATGAAATCTTGAGGTAGATGGTAGATGAACAAATTTGCCCCTTCAGGCCCTTTACTCTGCCCATTGTTCACAGCACCAGCCGCCGCCATCAGCGCTTTTTGAGCTTGTTGTTGTTGAGCAATCAGGTTCAATTGGGGCTGAATTGACGCGTTTATGGTCGTCAAAGGCGAAGAAACCGCGGCCGTCGCGGCCAATGGATTCATAACACCGGCTGTGGTTGTGGCATAACTCAGTTGTTGATAAGGGTTGAGTTTTTGTTGTTGTAGCAAAATGGCAGTTTCATCGTAGCCCGAGGCTTGAAGTTGAGGCTGTGGTGAGGTGGAGTCTTGGGCTAAAATTATATTATTGTAGGTTATGGGTGGAGAATGTCAATTTTAACGAATTAAATAGGTCATAATATATGTAAACGATATTTTTACTAGCCTTTTTACAAACTACATCAAGTAGTTTCTATTCCTTATCAATTTACACATTTTGGCGGCAAAAAACCTTTCAAATTTTTATTTTTTCGATTTTTTTCGATTTTTCAAAGATTTTTTGATAAAACTGAAAGTTTCTAACGATTTTTGGCAAATTGTTAACTCTAAACAGTGTTATTTTAAATATTTTGTCGCGTGTTTTATAAAAAATTGCTTTAGGATATTAAAAACTGCTTCTAGGTTCATAAAACTGGAAGTTAGGCCAGTTTCCGGAAGTGTAATATGGAAATGGATGTCTTGCGCCCAATTGATAAGGTTGATTATTCCTTTTCTGTTTTTAGGTACATTATTGGATTGGCTAATTTTGGATAAGAATAAGAAATTGATATAGGCAGGTAATTCCTCATAATTTAACGAAATTCGAAGGTAACACCACTTTTACCTAGCGTAATATCGAAATTTATGTCTTCCAGCCTTTTCACAATTGTTTCTGCCATTCTTTGTTTGATTTTAGATAGATATTTTCAGTGTTCAACTACTAGATACATAAATTTAGTTCAAAAGCAATCTGGTTTTCCAGAAACTTCATGTTTATATTAACTTACCCGTGTTGAAGCCCAGTGTAGGCTGTGGGCTGATAGAGGGAAGTTGAGCGTACTGTTGATGAGTCTGTGGCATCTGGGACATGAGAACTTGTTGTAGGCTTAAATTGGCGTCTTTTTGTTGATTTTGTCGTAGCAATTCTAGCACTTTTTGTTGCTGTATCATGGCATTCAGTTGTAGTTGAGCTGTTGGCACTGAAATCGTCGTATGTTAGGTGATTTATATTACATTTAGGTTTGATTCAGGCTGTTAATAGTTCTCCACACTTTTTTTAATTATTTTTAACAACTTTTCAAAATGTTTTCGAGGTTAATCACTTCAAATTTGGTCAGATATTGATTAATATGTTAGACTATGTGAAGAATAGGTAATTTCACGTCAATTGAAGTTCAATGTGAGTGTTATATTGCAGAGACAGTTTGTATGTTACATAACGTCACTCTAATCTACCTTCTGAACTTTTACTACTCTGAGCTTGAGATTGGGAGCCAGACTGGCCTTCTGAATTGGTACCCGGAGTTTGGACCGTGGCCAAACTTGAGATTACTTAAAATTTTGAAAATGAGTTTCTTTTTGAAATAGGGAAGCGTATTTTACATAGAAATCGAAGTACTTGGCTTGTCGGTTTTGTGAAAAAGCATAAAGTTTGAGATAATGTTGTTTTAGGTAATATTTTTCAATTTTTAATTTGATTTCTTAAAATTGAAGGGTTGATTTGAAGCTTTTGATGTTCTTACCTGTTCCAATGAGATTCAAAATTCCTGGTTGTTGTAACAAGGTGTTGATTCCCATCAACTGTGACGTGATATTGTTGGTTTGTCCAGTTTGAGAGGTCTTCAGAAGCTAAAAAAATTTGTTTTATGAAGTTCTGGCGCTTTAACAACAATTCACTTTAACCTTACCCCCTCCCCTTTCCCTTAGCTTCGTTTTCTAAATCTACCACACCCAAAACGTCTTGTTAAATTTTAAAAAGCTGCCCTACCCTCAGCCATAGTAATATCGCTTACCTGAGCCAACAAGGCGGTCTGATCAGCCACCGCAGGCGGTGAAGCTGAACTGGGTTGTTTCACCTTGTTCTCTTTGTCTCTTTGGGTATCGGCAAACTTTACCACAATTGGTTTGTTGCATCCCTAAAAATTTGACATCAAATTTTTAAAATTTTGATAATTTTAGAAGAAAACAACAAATAACTAATTTGAAAACACATATTTTGTAAAGCTTACGAAAGCCTAAACCTTCTCTATAGTACTTGGAATGTGTTTTGATAGTTTTTACTATGTTTTAGGAGTTTAAAATTCCGAAATGCCAAGATAAATGCATTTGGTTCTTAAATTTTTGATGTTACTTTAGCTTGTTTTTGATGTAACTCATTCAAAACTGGACAATAAAGTAATTTAAAACGTGTCAATTGTTGTTAGGAGTATTGTTAAAGTATACAATCTAAATTGGCATTCATTTTTTATGGTAGAAGTTGAAAAAACTTGAGTTAAAGATATTCACCATCACATTTTTGGTGATTTCTGAATCTTTTGATGTTTATGGTTCAAACTCAAGTTGTTTTAAAATTTTTAAGGCTTCTAATATTCTTAGCGATATTTTAAATGTATTAAAATTAAGTTGGCACTAACTTGAAACGGTTGAATAGGAAAAAAACTTGTTAAAGTTAGGTATATCCACCATAAAATTTTTGATGAAGTTCTTCGTTCTTTTTCTATTTATTATCAAAATCAACCGATTTCTTGGCAAGTTTTGGCCATTAAAGCTAAAAAATTTTGTTTTCCAAGTAGGCCAATATAATAATAATAATATAAATCTTGTTGTTTTTTCCTCGAAATCAACCAAAAATAAGGTTGTTTTCCTTTTCAATCCCCTCAAACTTCACTAATCTCCTGAACAGGTGTTAATACTGGGGTTTAGTATCGAAAGCAAAGCCCAAAGTTAATGGAGAACGAAAACTCAAGGGTTGTTTGTAAAATCAAAATAAAAAAAAAACTTTGAACAAACAAGTGACGAACCTCGCATGTCATCGACTGGTGCATAGCTTTGATCGCCTGATGGGCAAAAGAACGACTCACAAACGTCACAAAAGCACATCCTAAAATAACGAGTAAACGGTTGGTGAAAGAAAAAAAAGAAGGTAACAATGGCAGTGACATAGACATTTGAACATGTTGGTTCTTGTTATGGCAGTAGATGGTTGATGTTGGGTTTGAAATGGTAATTTTTGGCCTGAACATGGCTTGTTTAGGCTTAAAAACGGCATTTTTTGATTTAAAATGGCATTTTTAGGCTTAACGTGACTTTTCTGGTAATACGAGGTTGTTCAAATAATTCTGCGCCCCCTTTCAAAGCTAATTTTCGACAGGGGCACAAATTTATTTGAACAACCTAATATGACTTTAAAAAAAAATTGTAAAAATCAGTTTAAAAGTCACATTTTAAGGTATCGTATTTTACAAAAATTTAAATTTCATTTTCCCGCCAATTTCCAAAATTTTCATCCTGCAGCCTGCGCAACTCGGGCGCAGCTCTCAAGAACCCCGAAACTACCGAAACATGAAAAACGTAGAAGAACCCATCACGTCAAACATAGAACCGGCTCCGAACAAAAGATTCATTTGTTAATATACCCATGCTTAATGGGACATATATACCCATGTTCAACATGACATAATGTACAACCACTTTGGCCGAACTGATCAAATTGTTAAAACATTAGTACGAGACAGACGTTTTTACAGTAATTTTTATGTGAGCATGGTAAATTTTGGCATATTTGGAATGTGGTTTGGGTAAAGAACTTATTTTTGTGAATTGAAATGAGTTTCGGATATTAACCATCATGGTTAATATAGGTTGGTGGCGGAAAATGATTGATTTTGGTATGAAAACGAATTTTACTTGGACTAAAACAAATTTTTATGGATTCAGTAGTCTTTTTTACATAATTGACTTTAATTTCAATTTGTTTCATAATTGTTTTCATGCTAAAAGGGGTCTTTATATTATCCATTATGGTTAATATAGGTTAATGTTGGAAAATGATAAGTTTCGGCTTGAAAATAAGCTTTTTTGTTTTTAACTTTCATTCTATAATATAACCCCTTATTTTTTATTCAACATACTGTGATTTTACGGTATTTTGCATCCAATAACATATCAAGTCGCCTCGATATTAACCATGCGTGCTGAGAGATGGTTAACATCAGAAATTAATATGTTTCAGTACGAAACCTTGATTTTATAGTCTAGAAAGCTATTTTGTTAGATTTCCGAATCTTTTTTACCTAAATTAAACTCATTGTACACCTATTTTTTACCAATTATAATATCAAAACGCCAACATATTCACCATGCCCATCAAAGCCGAATATGACAAAAATTGGACCAAAATACGAGTAAATCGAACGGAAATAAGCAGAAAATAGGAATGCTACAACATTTGTCGAACATGTATAGACAAGTACAGTACGATGCTTACCTCGACTCTTGCCGTCCTCGCGTAGCACGGTGCATTCTTCGATTTGACCGAACTCTTTGAACATCTCTTTGACTTCTTCTTCGCCCATTGTCTTGGATAACATGCCAATGAAGAGTTTTCTTTCTGAAAATGCTTAGGCTTATATGTACTTAGGCTTGGTAGGGTTAGGATTAGTAGGCTTAGGCTTATTCTTAGTAGGCTTAGGCTTAGTAGACTTAGGCTTAGTAAGCTCGGAATCAGTAGTCTTAGGCTTATTATTGATATGCTTAGGCTTGAAATTGGCTAGTCAGGTTTGGAAGTCCAGAACAACAATTTTTGCGACTGGGCTCACATTTTTTTGAACAATGTTTTAAAAATGCACTCCCTTTCTCTCCCCCCCCTCTTTCCTCTGTGCCGAAAAATCCACCCCTACAACCCTAAAAATTCCAATTTTGTTCTTACCATTCCGATTCTCAACATCAGCCGGCTTCATTTGGACCGGATGATTCATTTGTGGCAAAACCCGTATGTTATGAAGCGCATTCTGCGCGTTAATCGCGTCCTGTCGCTTATAAAACGTCACGAAACAACAGCCGCGACTAAGTTGCGACGACTTGTCGCGCAACACATTCAATTCGTAGACTTTGCCGAATTCGCCGAACAACTCCATACACTCCTTCTCGCCCCAATGCCGCGGGATTTGGCCCACGAACATTTTTATTGTGTCCGGGTCGGGCTTCAGGCCGAAATCATCGGCCGATGTGGTGGTGGGGTCGGTGAGCAGATGCTGCTCAGAAGTCTCGGCTTCTGTCATGCGGAATCTGGAAGATTAGGAATTAGAATTAAATTGATTGGGGCACGGTACGGTAGTGGTAATGTGATAGATCACGACCAGGGTAGTACTACAGTTTGGCCAAAAGTAGGGTAGACTATGAGAAGGAAGAGTGGGATAGGGTGGGTCGGGGTAGGGTGAGACATAGTATGACAAGGTGAGGTAGGGTATGAGTGGGACAAGGTACTGTAGAGTAAGGTAGTGTGAGGTAAGGTAGGGCATTCTAAAAAAATAGACAGGGTCTTTAGGCGCGCTTAGGCTAGTTAGTACGCTTAGGTGGACTAAGAAAAAAGTATGGTGTAAACACTATACGGTAGGGGTATGATAGTGCATGGCAAGAGTAGTAATAGAATTTGACTAAAAGTTGGGTTAGGGTAGAAAATGGTAGGCTATAGTAGGGTATGGTAGGTTACGTTAAGATACAGTAAGATTAGGTAGGGTATAGTATAATAGGGTAGGGTGAGGTAAAGTAGGGTAGGGTAGAGTAGGGTAGGGTAGGGTAGGGTAGGGTAGGGTAGGGTAGGGTAGGGTAGGGTAGGGTAGGGTAGGGTAGGGTAGGGTAGGGTAGGGCAAGGTAGGTAAAGTAAGTTAGGGTAGTGTAAGATAGGATAACGTAAGGTGGCCAAAAGCAATAAAATAATAAAAACCCGAAGACAATACACATTTCAATTTCCTTAAATACCAATTTTTCAACCCTGCCAGAATGCTTGTAAACCCGTCATATCAAGCAAAACTTGAAAGAACTCGAAAACAGACACCTGTTCTGATTAAAACTTTTGTAATCAAACCTTCAATCAACTTTTTTCAATTTTCATATTTCAAAATTTTTAAAATTAAATCATTTTTTGTCATTTTAAAAGCTGAAAAAGGGGTTTTTTTCAATAAAATTTCGCTCAAAAATTTCAATTTTTATAAAAAGAAACATTATCAATGGCTCGAAAAATCAATATGAAAGGGAAAAGTCGTGTGAATATTGAGAAAACCTCAGAACTGATAAGAAAAAAGGGCCGAGAAGGGTGTCCGGCCAATCAGAAGGGCTATAAACAAAACACTAAACGAATAATTTTGCCTAAAATTAGTTTTAAAACTTAAAAAATGATTAAAAATCAGGCTTAGGCTTAGATTTACGCTTAGGCTAATGCTTAGGCTTAGTAGATCGGAAATAGTAAGTTTAGGCTTATATTTGCGCAAAGGAAAAATTAAGATTAGTAGGCTTAGGCTTAGTAGGCTTAGGCTTAGTAGGCTTAGGCTTAGCCTTAGTAGGCTTACTCTTAGTTGGCTTAGGCTTAGTATGCTTAGGCTCAGTAAGCTTCGCCTTAGTTCGCTTAAGTTAAACAGGCATAAACTTAGTAGGCTTAGGCTTAGCAGACTTAGGCTTAGTAGGCTTAGGCTTAGTAGGCTTAGGCTTAGTAGGCTTAGGCTTAGTAGGCTTAGGCTTAGTAGGCTTAGGCTTAGTAGGCTTAGGCTTAGTAGGCTTAGTAGGCTTAGGCTTAGTAGGCTTAGACTTAGTAGGCTTAGGCTTAGTATGATTGGGCTTAGTAGGCTTAGGCTTAGTAGGCTTAGTAGGCCTGGGCTTAGTAGGCTCTCCAGGCTTAGGGCTTGTACGCATAGCATTATCAAGCCTACTTATAGGCTCACCTGCTTTAGGCGTAGTACGCATAGATTTATTAAGCCTAAGTATAGACTTAGCAAGCTTAGCCTTAATAAATTAAAGCTCTGGCTTAACCTTAATAGACCTAAAGTTCCTATGCCTACTAAATTCAAAAACACCAAGCCTAAACCACTTAGTTTAAGACTAAACTTTCGGCTTATCTAATAAGTAAGCTAACCTTTGGTTAGGCTTTGAAATTCTAAATTAAAAGTTTATAAGTGTAAACCTAAGCCTAACTTCTTCTTTAGTCGCCAAAATCAAATCCGTATACAAATCAACTACAACAATAAGATGATATAACAACCCGCAGACCGGACAATCTCCTCCTCCCCTCCTCATATTCACACCATGAACAGTGTGACTTTTGACAGTCTTCCGCCAACACTTTCCGAACAAGTTTTTTTCATTGTGTGGCGCGAAAAATATGCAAATAAAGGCCAATTTGGGGTGGACGGGCGAAGGGCAACGGACGCTGCACGAAGACTTTAACATAACCGAGTTTCCTCAGATTAATATTCGAATATTAATAACGCCGCTGTTGCCCTCAGGCCGAAAGTTTTGTTTATACCAAGCCGAATAAACATTCCGAAATTCGGGGCCAAAATGAGGGTTTTGTAGCGAAAGCGAGCCAACGGCTACGGTAATTTATGAGTGGCGAGATCTTCACAATCATGTGGAATATTGGCTTATGAGGAGAAAGTCTTTTTAGGTTTAGGAGCTTTAGGCTTAGGGTTAGCACTTGGGCTATAGCTAGTGTTATTGCTAAGTTGAAGGCTAAGACTGGAGCTTAGGCTAGGTTTAGGTTTGCGTAATCTTAGTTGTTTTTGGGCTTACGCTCTTTAGGTTTAGAGGCTCAGGGCTTGGGGGCTTTACATTTATGAGCTTTAGGCTTAAAGTTTTTAGGGTTTGGGGTTGTAGACTTAAAGGGCTTTAGGCTTACAAGCAATAATATTACCAATTACCCTTCAGCGCTTTAGGCTTAGGCTAGGGATTAGGCTACAGCTTAGGCTATGGCTTAGCCTAGAATTTAGGCTAGGGCTTAGGCTAGAACTTAGGCTAGGGCCTAGACTAGTGTTTAGGCTATGGCTTAGGCTAGGGCTTAGGCTAGAGATTAGCCTAGAGCTTAGGCTACGGCTTAGGCTATGACTTAGGCTAGGCCTTAGGCTAGGGTTTATGCTAAGCTTTAGGCTAGTGCTTAGGCTAGGGCTTAGGCTAGAGCTTAGGCTAGGGCCTAGACTAGTGTTTAGGCTAGGGCTTAGGCTAAGGCTAGGGCTTAGACTAGGCCTTTAGACTAGACAAATGCCTTAATTTTATTAGGCTTCGAAATCCCACTTTTAAAAGTTGTAGGCTTAAAATGAAAATGAAAAAAAATTTAATTGATCTCGCCCCTCCCTCAAACCCCAAAATTTTCCAAAATTTGAACAAGCTAAAATCCCAGACCCACCAAAAAGCGAAAGAAAGGCGATCGGTCGAAAAGAAAAGAGAATTCACTGGCCGACAGCCCCGCGATCAGAAAAGATGCCGGATCGAGTTTAAAACGATCCGGCCAGATGCTGTTTTAAAGCCCCACCCGATAACAAAAAATGGCTTAAATCGATCAGCCAAATTAATCGAACATACGGCGGCGGTTTTTAGTCCCTAGCCTTTTTTTTAATGGGAAAGGCGGATGGAATGATGATAATATTGGGATGAGTAATGGTAATGCTAGATTATATATAGGGTTATTTAGTTTTGAGAAAGTAAAAAAGAATTTCAGCTTTAATAGGCTAAGATTGGCTTATACTAGGGCTCTAAGGCTCAGCTTTAAGATTAGGGCAGATCTAAGGCTTCTGCTAACGCTTAGGCTATGGCTTAGTGTAAATTTAAGCTAGGGCTAAAGCTTGGACCAAAAGGAGGATAGACTAAAGTTTTGGCTATGGCGAAGGCTTGGGCTAAATCTTAAACAACAGCAATTTTAGAGTTAGTAGCCTTACGTTTAAAAAAAGCCAAGGTAGGGCTAGCGCTATGGCATAGGCTAAAACTAGCGTAGCAATATGAAAAGCCTGAGGCTTATGTGGCTAAGACTTAGATTACTGCTTAAGCCAAGAATTAGATTACGAATTAGGCTACAACGTCGGCCAGGAAAAGGGCGTCTAGGCTTAAACTTGGCTTTAAATAACTTCGGATCGGCAGGTTTAGGCTTTAAAATTCAGAAGCACTATTTTTAAAGAAATTTCAAAACGGACTAAAAAGTGATCTTGTTTTATAAAATTTGCAAAGAAAGAGCACAAACGATAAAAATGATTATTAATAATATCGCGGAAGCATTTTTAAACAAACGCTACTCATTTTGTACAATGCACTACGATGTGTCATAATGTCGCAATAAAATCGTTCTATACTTTTTGTAATTTTCAAAATATTAAAATTTGGGGCTCTCTGAGAGAACACACCCACCTTATTATACACACCCACCACCTATTTCAAGCACCCATTTATTCAAATTTATAAATTTACAAATTCCATTGTAAAATGAGTCCAGAAGTGATGTTCGGTTGTCGTAGCGCAAAATGGGCTCGTCCAAGTAAGATTTCATCAGCTTTTTGGGAGCTTCGTGTGCCATCGAGGAAGTTTGAGTATCACCTATAAGGTTGGTGTGTCATCTGTGAGGTTGGTGAGCCATCTGAAAGTTGGGTGTGTCAATTAAAAAGTGTCATTTAAGAGGCTGGGGTGTCATCTAAGAGGTGGGGGTGTCATCTAAGAGGTGGGGGTGTCATCTAAGAGGTGGGGGTGTCATCTAAGAGGTGGGGGTGTCATCTAAGAGGTGGGGGTGTCATCTAAGAGGTGGGGGTGTCATCTAAGAGGTGGGGGTGTCATCTAAGAGGTGGGGGTGTCATCTAAGAGGTGGGGGTGTCATCTAAGAGGTGGGGGTGTCATCTAAGAGGTGGGGGTGTCATCTAAGAGGTGGGGGTGTCATCTAAGAGGTGGGGGTGTCATCTAAGAGGTGGGGGTGTTATCTATGAGGTGGGGGTGCCATCTAAGAGGTGGGGGTGCCATCTAAGAGGTGGGGGTGTCATCTAAGAGGTGGGGGTGTCATCTAAGAGGTGGGGGTGTCATCTAAGAGGTGGGGGTGTCATCTAAGAGGTGGGGGTGTCATCTAAGAGGTGGGGGTGTCATCTAAGAGGTGGGGGTGTCATCTAAGAGGTGGGGGTGTCATCTAAGAGGTGGGGGTGTCATCTAAGAGGTGGGGGTGTCATCTAAGAGGTGGGGGTGTCATCTAAGAGGTGGGGGTGTCATCTAAGAGGTGGGGGTGTCATCTAAGAGGTGGGGGTGTCATCTAAGAGGTGGGGGT